ACAATCAGCAATAGCCTCATCATAGTGAGAATGGGAAGAGTAATATGAACTGCATGACGTTTTGGGTGGATCAAACGACCTGTCGTAGCTCGATCTTCGTTTCGACAACGACGACGACACTCGAGATGGAAACGAGGACACGAACGGCACAAGCATCTTACGGATTTGATGAAAGAGGTTTATGGAAGAGAAGTTTAGAGGTTTGGAAGACGCTGCAATTAGAGTAAGTTGAAGGGATTTAGACCTTTGCATATTGTGTAAATCCGGTGACCAAGAGGGGTTCCTGCTGGATGTGGCTTGGTGAGTTATATAATACATAGGTTTGTATAGATATTTAGAATAAGGGGTTTGTATGGGCCAAGCTTTGCAGAGCATAATCAGAGCAAGAAACGATGCTGCCCCAACTCTCCATGTGCTCAAATCATTTCCCTTTAAAACAAAATTCATCAAAACCAGCTTTAAAAGATAATTTTCTTTAATCTTCTCACTAATTATAGTATGGGTTCAATTCAATGAAGCATTCCCATTTGAGCAACAAATAAAGCTTTTTAACCAAAATATTCCAAGAATGATAAGTTTGTGACCCATTTCACAATTTTGATAAAACTAAGTGCTCGGGAGGGCAATGCTTCGATGTTCGAGAGCTTTTGTGTGGAGCCCATATTCGCAATTTATACGTATAAGAAATGGATGGGTTTCGCTTGAGTGGACACGGATTTATTAATAATAGAAGTAATTTTATCGAGAGAGGAAAAAATCTTAGAGCTATTCACCTTCGTTATTGAATCAGTATGACTCAACACTAAAAAGTTAATATCTTTAATTGCAATCCAACGGGTGATGACATTATTTAAGAACTTTAAATTTGATTTATTAAATCAAAATTAGAGTCGCACGTTCATTCCATTGGTTATCATACTACGTAAAGATTAGTATAACCCACATCTAATATCCACCAACAAAAACAGTATAATAAAAAAGTTAAATTAAAATTATTTAAATTTAAAGACTAAACAAAAAAAAACGCTAACTAAACCTTATATTTATCCCAAACTGTCTGACGTAATAAAACTAACAAAAAGAAAACGAACTAATTAAACGACGTCGTTAATTAGGTTTGGAGGGCTTCGTAGATCACGACGAAACAAGGAAGGATAGCCTTTGGATTGAAAATGATCAACTCCTCGAGATTCGAATACTTCCCGGACTGTCGTGAAACGGAGTCGTAAGAGGCCGCCGCCGCCGACAAATTCTCCTCCTCCACCGCTGCGGCCGACAAATCCTCCGCGATCCGCTTCACTCTTCCGGCGATGACACGGCACACCAACATCGCCCGCCGCCGTCCATCGCCGCATTCGAACGAATCATGGGCCCTACCGCTACTGGCCGTGGTTCGTACGCCAGCGGGTTCACCGGGCTTGCACTGGAATCCATGACGGATAACGCTGCAGACACGGCAGCCGGGAATCGAGCCACACAGGCCGGTTGAGCCACGTGAGCCGAGGTCACACAACAACTCGCTACAATGGAACCGCAACAGCTCATTACCGTCAGCCGCACACCGCGGGTTTTTTCTAGCGCATGCGAGTGCACGTGTCTTCACTGCATCGCGGCAGTCTTCAAACCGTTGGATGGTGCGTTGGGTATTGTGGACCTTTAATATCCGTTCGATCTTGCAAATTGGACGGTCTATTTTTAGCCAGCTTGATTTGAAAATGATCTCCACGATGTTTCGACCCGAATCGTCAGGACCCAACTCCGAAACTAAAAAGACAAATAAACAAACAAAATTAATGGATTTGATTTGACACCTACATTTTCGTGTCGGTGGAGTCAACGGTCGTGCAGATTTATACACCAAGTAAGACTCCTAACACAAGGAAGCAAAACATGACACGTCATCCGTCAAGAACACAGCTGTAAATGGAATATTAAAGAGCATTTACACCTCGTCAGCAGTGGTGTATGAGTGAAGGCAAAACCCCATGGCCACGAAAGCGATTTTTTTATACAATTTTCTATTTACCCTTTTAAAATAACCCATAAAAAGAATTTGGAAAATACCAGCGTGGCGAACCGCTTGGTGAAGCTCTAAGCTTTCAATTTTGGGGAACATCTCTCCACATTGAGGACAAGGGCAAATAGAACTCCTCGGAATCGGGTACCTGAAATTCAACTCCATTTTTAACTCTTTTTTCAATTTATAATTAAATAATAATTAGTGTTGAAATCTAGACGTAGAGAAAGTCCAAAAAACACAATATCAACTAGCATTGTGCTTGAGCTGAGCGGTTACAAAATACCTGCTAGGGTCAACGATGGTGTGGCATTCATAACACCCAGAAAGCTTTCGTAATTGTAATCCTCGAGAAGAGGAGTATGAAGCAGAAGCACCGTTTTTGGTTCTGGTCGGAGCTGTCAAAGAACGAGACGATGAACCGTTTGTAGCTTTTGTAGTGAGTAACCTAGTTTCTTGTCCGAGGGAGCTGGTTTCCGGTGAGTTGTCGGGTCTGTGAACAATTTTGGCGTTGCCATGGACCACGTCTCTAAACCTACAAATGGAGCTGCAAGAAGAACCCAACTTCGAATTCGCCGGCGAGCGTTTTGCCGGCTCGTGAACTCTCGAAGCCTCCATCTAATAAGAACGAAAATAAAAGGATTAAGTTTAGTACTCTATATACTTTTAATTAAACTTAAAATTAGTTTAAGATTTTCAGACAAGAAAACACATAAAATTAACACATTTCCAATTGAAGAAAAAAAGAAATAAAAGGCAAAAAGAATATGAATCTGTAACTTTTGAAATGTAGGGGTAAGCTATGAAATTTAGACGCACCTGCTTGCAAGTGATGAGGTTCTTGATTTGGTCCCATGAAGATTGGGCAGAGGGCGGCGGCTGCGGCGGCGGCGGTTGGGAGGGAGGTGGGTGTTGGTGCTTTTTTCTGCGTTTAGTGTTGATGGGTTTCATTTTTCTGCTTTTCTCTGCGTTTATTGCTAAGGAAGTTGAGAGTGCCATGAAAATAATGAAAGTTTCTCTTTTTTTCTCAGGGAGGGAGAGAGAGAGAGAGAGAGTTATAGAAGGTGTGAAATGAAATGGAGAGGGAGAGATCCAAGAAATGTAATAAGAGTGTGTGGGGCTTCCTTCTATTGTCTCTCTCTTTCTGAAAAGTCCATTGGTGGATGAACAAAGGTGACGTAGGTCGGAAAGGGGAACGAAATACTTTTTTTTTTTTTTTTAAGGATATGGAAACCGCTCCTTAATATATGCATTTTGAAACCGTGAGGGGAAGCCCTTGAAAAAAAACTCAAAAAAGACAATCTATGTTGGCAATAAGCTTGAGATATTGCAAGTAGTATGAGAGCCATATACTAGACATTGACCCCTCGGGGTGTATTGTGAGATCCTACATTAATTGAGAAGAGAGAAACAAAACATTTCTTATAAGAGTGTGTAAACAGATGTTTACTGGGGGGTGTGTTTTATTGTATGGAAAAGTAGGATTGCAAATTCGAATTTGAATAATAGAATAAGATGAAAAATATGGAAAGGGGTATGGGCTTATGAATTTGAGATACATTTGTTATAATTTGATTCACCGGATAAAAGCCTAATTTCTGAAGTGAATAAGGGTAAACAGACAACATATAAAAACAACTAGAAGACATGAAACGAAGTGCCCAATATTGCGCAGATGTTGTCCCCATGCTGTTTGGTTTTATTAAGATTCTTCATGTTCTGCTCTCATATCATGATCTCAGCTTTTTTGTGTCATTAATCCAAATTAATATCCTAATTACATAAAGCTTAAAATACAATATTAATTTCCTGATTCTCATTAATTTTACAAAATGGTCTCATTATTATATGAGTCAGTGTCCACACAGACACACATTAAACTTCAATCACCAAACCCATCATTAATTAAATAAATGTAGATGACAGATAATAAAGGTTTATGAAAGCCACGTGGAGGCTAACTGAAGCTTTATTCATTTATTTTATTATTTATTAGATGAATTGAATAATTTGATATCGCTAATAAATTGAAATGCCCATGAATCTCAAATTTTGGAAATTGTTCCATTATGCCTAAGCATGTCACGTGCGTCTAATTTGAAATCATATGTTTTAGCAAGGGTTTGGTGTTCAATCTTTTGTAACAAAAAAATATTTGGGCCTGCAATTGCATTACTTCAACCCAAATTCACTTTCTTGCTTTGATTTACAATCTCTTACAGTCTACTAAAATCAGATTGGTTAAGTAAAGAATTATGTGTCGACTCATGATTCAAGGTTCATATGTGTGGTCTCTGCATCAACACGATGAGAACATAAAGCATGTGTTCACAACGTTGGTAAGATCAATACTGATGCAAGTGCATTGCGTGGAAAAGGGCTAACAACACTAGTCCCTAGATTTTTGTTTAAAAAACAAGAATAATAATAATAAATAAATCAAAACTATAAGTGAGTATTCAAATTATTTCAAAATCAAAGTAAAAAGGTTTTAGTTCGGATCATAATAAGTTTGCAAATACTTCTTAAAAACCAAACAATGAATTGATTGTCAATAATTGGTTACGGGACAGGTGGGTGCAACGTTAATATAATTTCACCTAATGCTTAAAACCATGATTTTTCAATTAAATTAATAGTTAATAATAAAATCTCACCGGCAACAACAAGTCCAAAGCAAAGTTTTCGTAGAACTTACTTAGGGATAGGATGTAAAAAATATATATATATATATATAGTGGAAATATTGTTAAAAATGATTAACTTTATTAATTAATTAATGTGTTGGTGGAGCCGAACGCTTTAGCATTTTATGCCTGAATACATTAGACATCTTTTCAATTACTTTTCATTAAGTTTATAGCCCTTCATCAAAATACCTTTTCTTTATCCATTTAGCAAGGAATAATTAAGAAACCATTCAAAGGAGAGTAGAAAAGGAAACTTGTCAATAGAATCCAATTTAACTGATCGAAGGAAAAGATTTAACCCAAACCATCTGTTGTGCAAAAAAGCACTTCCGACGGAAGTCCAGAATTCAACTATAGCCAACTAAAGATTTATGCGAACATTGAAATTATGCCATGGAATTTTGACAAGAACCGCACCATATGCTATAACTCTAGACCACCCACCGGCCACCGTCCAGAAAAATAAAGAGAATAAAATTTGAATAGAAACAACAAATTTACATGAATGCCGGGATCGGCAAATCAGTACTCATTGTTCCATTCTGCTTTCTAAGAGGGGAAACTGAGATTCAGAAACATTGCTCCCATTCCCTTTTCAACGGTTAGCAGCAGCACTTGAACGGGTTTTTCTCAAACGTGGGCGAGTTACTTTTGTGGGTTCTTCTATGACGGTCTCTTTTGGGGGAGGATTTTCATTCTCGTCCACTGAAGCTGGCGCTTGTTCAATCAGCAACATTGGCTCCGGTTCAGATTGGCTGCTGCTACTGGCTGGTTCAGATGCTGCTGCAGCTGCTTTAGGAGTATTAGGAACGTTGACTGAGGTTGATGGTTTCAAGCCTTTTGGAGTATGAGGAACTTCAACTGTGGTTTTTGACGGTTTTGACACTTTCGGACTACTAGGAACTTCAAATGTGGTTTTCAGTTTTGAAACTTGTGAAACACCCACCTCTTCAGCTACATCTTTTTGTTGACTTGAAGATGGGGATGACGATGGATCAATTAGCACTTGATTAGTAGTGGCACCAGTGCTTTTTGATGTCACATTGTCTGGTGAAACCTTCGCCTTCGCCACCGCGGGCTGTTTCTGCAATTTAAGAGAAATAAGTAGATATAGGTATTTCCAGAACCGCCACAACTATTTTCTAATGCAAGTTCGATTGTACCACATGCACTAGATAAACAAATATCAGATACGCATGTAATGAGAGCGATGCGTAAAGAAATGTAAAGCTGCTTCTTTACATAACATAAAACCATTTCACACTGCACAATCTTGGCCTGAAGAATAAGATACAAATCATTACACGCAGCAAGAAACCAGGTCATTATAACAGACAACAGAATTGCAGTACTAATTTTTTTTTTCCATATCACTCAATAAAACACCAAATTAGGACTAAAATATGAACGATAATAAGACGATTTTGATCTAATTAAATTTATCTGCAAATACCTGAGTCTTGTGAGGCTTAGCTGTTGATTGTGCAGCAACATATTGCAAGATCTCGTATACCCTTGTCTGGCCATAGCTTGCAGCTCTCTGCCAATAGATAACAGCAATATCACCCGCTCTGGTCCTCAGTTCCAATAAATTTTGGTCAATTTCTGTCTCATGCTTTGCTACATATGGTCTAAAGAAGGAATCATATACATAAGTTGTTCCCTGACAAATGAAAAGTTATTAGGAAGAAGATAAGTGATTTCAGAAAGAAGGTGACCCAGGAGTGAGCACAAGAAAGAGAAAAGCCTAAATTCCAGATTCTGATTCCTTACTTTTGTTTTGGGGTACCAGAGATATATGTAGAAAGCCAATTTAGCTTCACTATACATAGGAACCCTGCACAAGTGAAAATAATAATAATAATATTATTAAAAATTTATAATTCACAAGTAAAGGCCAACTAACTATGAGGAATCAACGGAGTCCTAGACCAAACAACTAAATAAAAAGAAGGGCATCGTATCAACAATATCTTCATCCAATTCCTACCATGAAATGAATGCATCTCCAATCCTCTCACAAACAGTCAAAACAGCCACTAAAATCCTGAAACCAAAAGGAAAGCCAATCAATGTTGATGCTCAGAATTTTATTAAAGACAACTAATGCAAAAGAAATATTATTGCATACCAGTATTGGCACCAAAAGCGAAGTTGCTCAATTTCTGGCTTGTTCATTTCAACAGTTTTATAGCACTCATATGCAGGATATGCATAGCCAAAAATCATCCTGTCAACAGATTGACAAAATATATATTAATACCACAGGATAATCTGTATTATTACCGAGGCAAGCAAATTATTATCAAATAGACTTACACGAGACCTCTAGTAAGAAAGGAGCCAATCATCTTGAATGCCTAACAAATTTAGACATCAGTTATGGTTAAATTAGAAGGGTCATAGATAGATTTTAGTAAAGCTAGTAGTGAAGTATGTTAAATAATGAGAGAAAATTGTACAATCAAATAGAAAGTAGATCACAAGGACTAACAAGGAATCAAAAGAGTTCCAGACAAATAATATCTGTTTGTTGAACTATGAACAATTGATGTATGTTCTTACGCTTCTATAGAAACCAATAAAATCAGTTAATTAAACAAAATTCCAAATTATACCACAAAGAACAAAAAGATAGAAAGACACCAAAACATTCCTCGTTCAGAATCTCATAAAAGTTCCAGCAAACTGCGATGCATCCTTCACGCATAATCTTCTAAAAATGCTTATCGCTTCATAGAAGCCAGCTAAGAATGTGAATAATGAAACAAATAAAACAATCAATAAAGCTTAAAATGAGAAGAAAAATTCAGTCTATTCAGTGCGTAAATGCAGTATGCCCTTGCCATTAGCAGGCGATTTCAAACCAAACGCAGCGTTTCTACCTTTCTGCACAATGAAGTCGCAACTTAACTTCATCAAAGGCCATCGCACAATAAATTTTAGGACTACAATGCTCGGAACTTGAAATTTAGGGGATAACAAAGCGTCATGAGCATCTGCCGAACAACCACAAGAAAACAGTATCCAAATTCCAAAGAATAAAGTAAATCCCCGAACATTATCAGTCTAGGACCAGAAACACCTAGAAATAAGAATAAGATAACTACGGAGACCTAATAAAACAAAACATCAAGCACCTCAACCGAACATTCTGAAGTCTAAACAAATCTCGAAGGCAGAAATAAAGGAAAACATAACAAAACCTTAGGTTCAAGAGACAAAATGAGAACGAAAGAGAAAGAGATTAGTAGCTAGTGATTATTACCTTGAGACAAAATCAAAGAATCGACGAATACGAGAAAAATCAAAAGTCTGCAAAAGCTGGCTCAGAGGCAGTGGATAGAGGAGAATCGTAGAGTGAGAGTCGGAGATCGACGGCGGAGAGACAAATCAGCGATCGGCACCGCCAAAATGCCTCGGCGGACCGTTGGAAAAGCAGAGGAAGTGATAAAGATGGAGAGACGAGAGCGAGAGAGCGAGAAAGCGAGAGAGCGCGTTTGAAATTCTTACACCAATCGGATATTTGGTTCGGCGAACTTCACTTCGCTAATAAAACCCGCTTTGATTTCCATAAAAATCGTATTATTATGGAAAGACGCTTTGGAATGTGTGTACACAAGGACAATAATGGTATAAACTTCATCCCTTAATCACCGTCCATTTCGAATCAAACGGCTCTCTAATTAGTCATTTCTGCATTTCTGGTATCACGGTGCCGGAGGGAGCGTACGCTCCTTTTTATTTTTATTTTTATTTCTTTTTCTTTTTCTCTACTTTATTACGTGGAAAACGATATCAACAACAGCCACAACCATACCCGCAGGGTATGCAGCGGCGTCAACCTCACGGCAACTTTACCGTTTAGCCGCCGTTTTCACAATTCTATTAACAACCCTAAAAATAAATTTATATTTTAATGTCATTGGTTAATTGGTAAGTAGGTGAGTGAACATTGTCGTACCAAATACCACAATCAAAATATGATGTTGATACTAATGGGAGCGGAAGTGGAAGCAAAATCAATCCCATTTGCACGCCCACAAACAACAAATAAACAAAAAGACAAAAATTTACGTAGTTCGAAGAGAAAAAAATTTCATACATCCACGAGTGATAACCAACTACTATAATCAAATTGTTTACAAAGTGTATCTCTCGCACTCTCAAACTACAAAATCACTCCTACAAGGTTTCTCTCGATTGCTTCTAGTGAAATACAAAATAGTAATAACTCCACATCTAAACTGTAAGACAAATTATTATATAAGTATGGCAATACTAATTCTCATATATGAATTAAGATGATTCACGTGCCAATATGGAAGATGAACCAAATTAATTCAGTAGATTCATGAATCAATCCAAGAGATTGATGAGAATTATGAGCAAATATAACCGACAAGCGCCGCTATCGAGTGATAGGAATGATATTAGTAGGAGCGAAGGGAAGGACGAGGTGGCAAATTATTGAGTGTTAAAAAAAGTAAATTGAAAACACTTTGGACCCTCTCATTAAAAATAATTAACATTTAGGGACCCAGAGAAAAAGACAATATTTTTTCATCTTTTCCGTTGTTCCTACTCTCCCGGGAGGCGTACAATAAAAAATGTATGTCCCATGAGTTGAAACAAAGATAAGAATCTAATAAGAAGAGCGCACGTGAGAAGGAGGGTGTATGGGCCCATTACACGACCTTAGCCTTTTCTCTCTTTTTCGTTAGTCTATGGCTTTAACAAATACATTGATTGAATAAAAATTAAGATTCCCACGAGAATTTATTCGTCTTCAGTCACACACACACACACACACACACACACACACACACACACACACACACACAGCTCTAGTAATGGGCCTGCTATGATCCAGTAAGTTAAAAGCAAAAAGAGGGAGTGGGGGGACCTTGCCCTTCAGGATAGCTTGCGTTCAAAGTGAGAGGAGAGGCACGTGGTGGTGGGGTGGGCTCCATTACCCTTCAATTTTACGCTCTGTCACTCTCACTTTCTCAGTCGGGACCCCCCAACCTTGGGCCAGAACAATCCAGACTGGGCTTTTGAGCCATGGGCTGAGAAAGGACGGCCCATTTAACAGATATCCAACTGGCAGGCAGGCAGTTGATGAGTGGTGGGTCTGCAGCAGGATATCCAAAACCACAGGAAGCAGCCAATTGGGCCATAGAAAACAGTTTTGGTGTACAGTCTGGCCAACCATTTTAATAGGGAGACCCCCATAACCGACGGAGCGTGTGTTTCACGCTCCTCAATCTGTCCGTCCGTCAACATTGTCTGTAATGAAAAAGGCTGATAGCGATACAGCCAACAACCAATAATCTACAATTTTATAAATGGTGAAATCTGGTATTGTCCCGCGTCGAAACAAATTTGTCGGTGACAGGCACCTTTCTTGCACAATAAATTCATCTCTACAATACGATTCCATTCCTTTTTCTTCTTCCTCAGGCCCAGATCCAACATCCCCGATTTCTTTAATTAGGCTTTGTTCATTGAACTTCCAATCTTAGCCAATCATTTCCTTAATCACAGTTCCACTAGTTAATCAAGGCAAAAAGCGGACAGATCTTGACTGATAGGTTCTATTCAGCTGCAGAGTTTTGGGTCTTTTTCTAGCGGTTCCATTTCCCGAGGACTCCAGATTTCCACCTACCCTGGCGACCTATTGCGAAGTTCCCCATCGTCTCAATGTATTGTGCTTGAGCTGGATCTTGGTTATTTGACTCATCTGAGCGTTGCATTTACGAGGCTGCTTTGTACTGCGCGAAATGGGAGAGAAATCGAGGTCTAGAGGATTTTGTGGATGGTTTCTGGTGTTGGTGATTCTTGGTTTGATCGCTGGTGCTATAGTATTTGCAGTCAAGAAGAAGTCGAGTCACTCTGATGATGAGCCTGCTCCAGTTCCGGGCCCCCCTGGCGCAATCGTGAAGAAATATTCCGATGCTCTCAAAATAGCCATGAAGTTTTTCGATGTGCAGAAGTGTAATATCTCATTCTCATTTCTGATTGATATTTTGTGTTTCTGTTTTCTGGATTCAAATGCTAAGCACCTAGAAATCTTTAACAGTAAATGTTTGGCAACTATTCAATTTACAATGTGGACTGTAGTGCCTTGGACCTTGCCAAGGACTGGAGATAGTATGGAAAAGTGCCTGCACAAGAGATTTCATTTTTGTCGCAATGTTTTGTTTGTTAGTTGCATGAATTTAGTACAAACTTATTGGTCTATTTGCAGCTGGGAAGTTGGTAGATAACACAATTTCTTGGAGAGGGGATTCGGGGTTGAAAGATGGAACTGAAGCGAAATTGGATCTATCTAAGGGGATGTATGACGCTGGGGATCATATCAAGTTTGGTTTCCCAATGGCTTTTACTGCAACAGTGTTATCTTGGTCTATCCTCGAGTATGGAGATCAGATGGACGTAGTGGGTCAATTAGATCCTGCCAAAGATTCTCTAAAGTGGATTACCGACTATCTTATCAACGCTCATCCTTCAGAAAACGTGCTTTACATTCAGGTAATGACGCTTGTTTACTCACATTATCGCTTTTGTCTGCTTCAATCTCTTCAATTGTTTTGTGAGTTGTGCATTAAATAACAAATCATATAATCTATTGGTGATACTTTGCAGGTCGGGGATCCTGATATAGACCATGCCTGTTGGGATAGGCCTGAAACCATGACTGGGAAGAGGCCACTCACGATGATCAATGCCTCTTTTCCAGGAACAGATGTAGCAGCAGAAACCGCTGCAGCTATGGCTTCAGCATCTCTTGTGTACAAGAAAACTGATCCCACCTATTCAGACTTGCTTCTTAAGCATGCTGAAGAATTGTTTTCTTTTGCCGATGAGCATCGAGGTTTGTACAGTACCAGCATTCCTAAAGTCCAAACCTACTACAATTCAACAGGATATGGAGATGAACTTCTATGGGCTGCGAGCTGGCTGTATCATGCAACAGAGGATGAAACCTACCTTAATTATGTGTCTGGAGACAATGGGAGATTGTATGCAAAATGGGGAAGCCCCACCTGGTTTAGTTGGGATGACAAGCATGCAGCAACCCAAGTATGTATCTCTTTTAACTTGGCGATAGATTCCTATATATGTGGTCAAATGTGAAATTTTATAAATTTCAGTTGCCACCAAAAAGAAATATTGATGAGATTAGCTAAAGTTTGAGCTAAACAAAAGATTTTTGCTTCAACATTCTTTCCATTTGATATGTTTCTTCTGAAATCATTGTAGCTGTATACGGTTTACAGCCTAACAGAACCCCAGTTCCCATTGTATCTAAAAGCTAATAGTGAAGAATATAACAAAGGGGAATAGGAACGTCTATTGGTTGAACCTTGATGAGAGGCAAAAGTTTAGATCGTTGTTTTAACTCAAGTCATATGCTGTAGGCTTAGACATAGCAAGCTGTCAATTTCCTGCCTAACCATATTATCTCGTTATTATTACCATCTACTGCTTAACAGGGGATTTCCTTACTTTTGTAACTCCGTTTGGAATCAAGTTAATAACATCTTAACCTTGTCACTACTCTGCAATGTCTATGCAGGTTTTATTGTCTCGCTTAAACTTCTTTGGCTCCCAAGGTGTTTCAAAGTCAGTTCAAGTTTACAAGAAAACAGCCGAAGCTGTCATGTGTGGCCTAATCCCAGAGTCTCCAACCGCAACAAGCAGCAGAACAGATGGTAAGTAGTTTCTTCAACTGTGTAACGACTTCATAACATAAGATTTCATGTCACCCCTCGAATTAGCAAGATTGTAGCTAGTATTGTCCTCCTGAACTTCTTAATTTATTCAAGGACGTTTCTGGTACAGATGGTCTCATATGGGTCAGTGAATGGAACGCTCTGCAGCATCCTGTGTCTTCAGCATTCTTAGCTTCCCTTTACAGTGATTACATGCTTACCTCCAGAACTGCAAAATTTTCTTGCAGTGGGGAGACCTACACACCAGCAGATCTAAGAAATTTTGCCAAATCTCAGGTAAGCTAACTCTTTATTTAGCACTAGCAACATGTGCTTCTCGAGTGAAAGTAGTCCTATTGATTTTAAGTTGGACACATCTATTTCCAGGCTGATTATGTGTTGGGCAACAATCCTATGAAAATGAGCTATCTGGTGGGATATGGTGACAAATTTCCACAGTATGTCCACCACAGAGGTGCGTCAATCCCAGTTGATGCCACAACCAAATGTAAAGATGGGTTTAAGTGGCTCCTCTCTACCAAACCAAACCCAAATATAGCTTATGGAGCTCTTGTAGGCGGGCCCTTCCTTAATGAGTCATATATTGACTCACGAAACAATTCCATGCAAGGGGAACCAAGCACATACAACAGCGCTCTGGTCGTGGGCCTGCTATCGAGTTTAGTGACCACCTCCTCAGCATTGCAATCCTTCACCTAATGCAGCTGGTATATATTTATATTCTATTATCCAAATTTGTGATCGTTTTATATTTTGTAGTTTGCCATTTATTTGTGCTGAGAGTGTTAGTACCTCTTGCGAGTGAGCGTTTGCCTATCCTCTAACAAAAGTGAAGCC